TAATAATAATAATAATAATAATAATAATAATAATAATGATAATAATAATAATAATAATAATAAAACAACAATAGTGATAATAAACATGACGATGATTATATTTTATTTTATTATAGCAAAATTAATCACAATTATTAAAAGATGAATGATTTTTACATATTATTTCATTAAATTCATTCTCCTAAAATTAGATTCGAAAATGTAGGAATATATCTTGGAAGCCTGGGAAAATCAGGTAAATATTACTTTTATTTTATAATTTAGCTAAAGATCTCTATAATTTAATTTATAATTTATAATTTAATTTATAATTTTTTTTGCGAAAGTATTTTTATTATATATTATCATTATTATTGTGAATTAGATTGTGATATTAGATTATAACAATTAGATTATAATAATAGAACTATAGATGAAACAAATTATGAGAACAGGAATACAGTTAAATCAGATCATGATCAAATAACAGTAATTTGTTTAGCTCTTAGAAATGATATGATGATAAATGCTAATTGATATATTAATGTTATCATAATGTATCAGAATAACGTATCATCAATAAATTTTAATTTAATTACTTAATATTCAAAAAGTAATTAATGTTATCATAACGTGTCAGAATAACGTATCATCAATGAATTTTAATTTAATTACTTAATATTCAAAAAGTAACCAAAAAGAAAATAGCAATAGCAATAATATCAAAAGGTTAATAATATATTAATTTAGCATATATATTTTGTTATTATTAAGTCTAATAATTTATTGAAATAAATAAAATGAATTTTTTTTTATAATTAAGCGGAAAAAATATTTAACAAAGAAAGGGAAATAAAAAAAGAAAATGATTAAAATATTATATGCTGTATTTCTAACAAACAAAAAAGGAAAAAATTAACAAATATCTTTGAATTTTTTTATTTATTTTATGCAGCTTGAAAATTTAATTAATTATTTACTTATATATTAAAGAGCAAATTATTATTTAAATTATGATTATCATATTAAGGCAAATCTTGGTACCATTTTGGGCGTATATTTGCCAACTATACAGCATATCTTTGGCGCTATCATGTTTCTACGATTATTCTGGATTGTTGGTATCATGGGAATTGGCCAATGTATTGTAATGACTTTTCTATGCATGTTTTGTGTAAGGATTATTAATTACAATAATTATTAATTAATGATTGTTATTGATTATTAATTACATAACCATATTTTTGAAAAAAATAAAAATGAAAATTTAAATTTTCCAACAAATTTCAGCTAATTAATCGAATAATATTTTCCAGTGTTTCTTTCTTTTTTTTTTAATAATTTGTTATAATAAAATGAAATAAAATCTGTTTGTTTTTTTTTCAAAATTATTTTTGTATTAAAAAATTTTAATTAATTTATTTCTTTCTTTTTGCTGACTACCTAATATAATAGAAAGTATTGATTGAATAAAAAGAGAATAGTTTTGAAATTGAAATAAAACAATTGTTATTTTTAAATTGAATAAAAAAAAGGAAAATTTTTTAATAATTCTTTTACGATTCAAATTTTGCTAAATTTTTAGATTTTTGTTTGTTTAAATTAAAAATTTTTATTAAAACTCATAAAATTTTTTATTAAAACTTTTACTTTTTGCAACATTAAATTTATATTAAAGTTGAAAGTTTTATCATATATTTATTAAAAAATTTTTTTATTATTAAAATATTTTTTTGAAATAATATCCTTTAATAATTTTTGATTTTTTAATTAATTCAATTTATTTGCAGACTTTCTTAACATGTATCAGTTTAAGTGCTATTGCAACAAATGGTGTTATTGAAGCTGGTGGTACATATTATATGATTTCACGAAATTTAGGACCTGAATTTGGTACAGCTGTTGGTATATTATTTTATTTGGGTAATGCATGTGCATGTGCAATGTATATTGTTGCAGCAGTTGAAGTATTTCTTGTAAGTTTAAATAATTAATCGATAACTTTAGATAAGTTAGGTTTTATATGTAAGTTTAGGTAATTAATAATTAATTTTACATCCATTATTTCAAATATGCAAATTGTTTAATTAGTTTCAAAAATTTTTTATTTGGACTATTTTTAAAATAAGTTTTATATGTAAGTTTAGGGAATTAATAATTAATTTTACATCATTATTTCAATTATGCAAATTGTTTAATTAGTTTCAAAAATTTTTTATTTAAACTATTTTTAAAATTAATTTTAAATTTGTAAATTTAGCTATACATAGCACCAAATATAACAATTGGTGGTCAAGAGGTTCATGATGATACCGGTTAGTTGTTTTTTTTTTTTTTTTGT